TTTTTTTTAAAGCTATGATTTGATAATGTTATAGGTTATGTATTGTAGCGACCCTGCAGTAAATGTTCTGTTATAATGTCAATGTTCTGTGAGTTAATGGCGTGTTTGGGATTGAATGAGGTGCGGGGTGCGAGTGTGACGGGGATGAGGGCTGTGTGAGTGCGCGTGCTGGTGTGTGTATGAGTGAGCTGGAGGAGAGAGCAGCAGTGCACAGTTGGAGTTACAGCTAAGTTCTTGTTTGTTGGTTGTTTTGGCGTGGTTACGGCCAACAGTAACCTGTACTGTTCAGCAATAAACGGTGGTTTAATTGCCGAATAACTGCGTCATCCTTCCACACGTCCAATGTTGCAACATTGTGCGCGCACAGCCCTTCACCACCTGGATCCTAAAATAAACACCTGTTTTATTACATAATCATGCTTCCGTATTGCGCCATTCATTAAGATCCTATATTTCTGTCATTCAAATAACAAGAATTGTGGTTTAATACTCTTAATTATAACAGCCAACTTATTGAAAAATGTCGGGTTTAAATCGGGCTCGGGCCCATAATTACAGTTAATTTTTTGGGCCCGATCTAAGCTCTACCAGAAATGTACGTTTTCTGCTGCTGTGAAAGGATTTTTTTACATCAATGTCTGTGATATCCAGAGGTAAAACAGCTTTACACATTATCTTGGACTAAAGGCCCTGACACACCAAGCCGACGGTCGGCCGTCGACCAAAGTCGGGCCGTCAGTGAGTGTCTGTCGCCCTAGTTTTTGCAGTGTGTCCCGCACCATTGGCACTTCGGCGTTGGCGGCTTTTCGGCCGATTGAGTATGTTGAATCGGCGGCGGAGCTTGTCACTCTGATTGGCTGTTCAGGTTTTATTTCCTCGCCCATGTAGCGGGTGAATCTGCCTGTAGTGAAACCGGGGCTAACAGGTGCTTCCTCCTCAGGCTCCACTTCACTCAGCTGCCCGACAGACCCGCTGGTTCTTCCCACTTTAACCTGAATAAAACCTAGCTGGGAGCGGCTAGTGGAGTGTTAGCCGCAGCATGACCGGAGGGAAGCACAGCCAGTTAGCCTCCGCTAGTCTCTGAGCTAGCTCCGGCTCTCTGTTTGGATCCAACCGGAGCACCTAGCCCTGGTTTGTTACTCAGGTTAAAGTGGGAAGAAGCAGCGGGTTTGTCGGGCAGCTGAGTGAAGTGGAGCCTGCGGAGGAAACACCGGGACTGTCTGGATGTGATAGTCCGTGGAGGTGCTGTGGTGCTCGGCTGCACAGATAGGAAACCCCTCGGCTGACAGGATGTATCACTCTCTCACTCCGCTCTCTCTCACACAGGCGCAGAATGTACGTGCTACTTGGCCGTCGGATGTAGTCCGTGTAGTGTGTTCAAATGCAACTGACACAGGGCGACTTGAGGCGACGTAGACAACGCAACAGTTGGCTTTCGTTGCCGCTAGTTCTTTGCTGTCTGTTTGGTGTGTCTGCACCTTTAATGAGAAACACATAAATTCAAAAGTTGAATCATTGAGTCATTTTTATTATACATGTGTAAGGGCTGACAAGCGATTAAAAATGTATCTAATGAATTACATGCTTTGTGATTAATTAATCTAAATTAATTGCATAAATCAATTTTAGTATTAAAAAATTTCAATTCAAATGAATGTTGGCACATATGTTGTAGTAAAGCTGCTGGATTTTGGACATATTGTCCCCCTGTCCTGTACCACCGAAACTGGTCTGCAGTCTATTGCAATCCATTTGGCAAGAGAGTCAGTTAGTTAGTCACAGTTAGACTTACTCAGTTTGTGTCTGAACACCTGATCAATTGTAGCTTGATGAGGCTGGCTGCTAGCGCTAGCATCAGGGACTGCGCTAGCTCGGACCTCCAGATTCACTGCTAAATGCTTTGCATTGAGGTGATATTTCAGGCTTGAAGTACTCAGATGTTATGAAAATGCCTTACTGCAGAAAGTGCAGAGAACAGTGCTCCTATCAACAGTTCCATCTGGGCATTTTTAGATGTAAATGTTCCATTCACTGAGCCAAACAGCTTTGTCTCATCTGCCTCCATCATGTGACAAAACCACTGTGGCTTTCAGTGACACGTCGGGTCAAAGAGCAGCAGCGTGAAACACGATCAATCAGCGTTCATTTTTTTTTTTAACACATTATTTTTTTCTGTGATTAATTAATCAAAATTAACATGTTATTTTCACAGCCCTAGTACATATACATGGAGTTAAAAATGATGACAAATTATTTATGACTAGGAGAATTACAACAATAAATGCCAGCATGAAAGCATGAAAGTTCATTCTGTAATTTGATGTCACTTAAGTTTCACTCATTATCTTTATTCTTGTGGAGATTTTAAACACATCTTACACCTTCAACAGTGAATGGAGTTTGCTCAGTTATTTGTAATGGAGATGGTGCAAACATACGGAAGCGTATTGCATTCACTTGACAAATAAAAAAAGCCTTGTTTTTCTGAGTAATTTTTTCCCTGTTTTTCGTGGTATTTTTTTTTTCTGTTTTTCGGGGTATGTTTTTTTCTGCTTATTGTGGTAATTTTTTTCTGTTTTTCGTGGTAATTGTTTTTCCTGAACGGGGAGATGATATACTTCAAAATCTTGCGAGAGATAAGGGTAAGGCACGTAATTAGTTACACACAGGGTATGATAATCTAGCTATGTTTTCGACTGCATCCTTCTAGTGTAGGCCTATTGCTCAATGTAACAGGTTAGGTTAGTAACAGATTGTAACAACGTTAGCTGACAAACGTGTATGGGCATGATTTCAGTTGTCAGGTAACGTTGTTACAACCTGTTACTAACCTAACCTGTTACATTGAGCAATAGGCCTACCTACACTAGAAGAACGCAGTCGAAAACATAGCTAGATTATCATACCCTGTGTGTAACTAATTACGTGCCTTACCCTTATTGATCCTGTAGTTGAAATTGTCTAGGAGCAGGAGCAAGGATGCAAAATACATCCATGAGCAGGAGTCACCATGGATGCAGGGGTCACTTGCAGGTGCCAGGTGGGAGCTCCTCGCGAGATTTTGAAGTATCTCGTCTCCTCGTTCAGGAAAAAAAAACAGGGAAAAAATTACTAAGAAAAACAAAAAAAATTACACCAAAAAAACGAAAAATAAATAAATTACTCAGAAAAACAGAAAAAATTACTCAGAAAAATAGGGCTTTTTTTATTTGTCAAGTGAATGCAATACGCTTCCGTACCAACAAGTGTCAACATGTGATCTAAGTATTTTTTGGTAAGAAATGTTTGTGATATCCAGAAGTAAAACAGCGTGTTAAAAAAAAAAAAAAAAAAAAAATCAGAATAGCAAACAGGAAAACCTGAGATTCATTGGGTAGAAAAGGAGCAACACAATAGTTACATTTGGACAGCTGCCCTGGCAAGGTTCTGATCCAAATAGACAAGCTTCTAATGACAGCCATTTCTCACTGACAGTGTTTCCATCACTTGTAATATGTTGACAACAGAGCATGATCACATGAGAGCAGGCTGATGACGTAACAATGCTAATAAGGACAGTCACAGTTAGTAAAACTGGTTCTAAAGGGCTGTGCAGCAATAATCATGATCCACATCTCCTCATTATCAGACGTGATGAGACGCTGCACAGATATTACCACTTGACTGTCTCTCTCTCTCTCTCTCTCCCACACACACACACACACACACACACACATGCACGCACGCACGCACGCACGCACGCGCATGCACACACTAAGCAGTGGGTGAGGTCTTGGTGTGACTGCCTCCACCAGGAATGCAGTAGTGTGTGTTTTGAACTCGCCACACTGTACAGTCTCACCCAGGCTGATCTGTCAGTTTCTCTCTACATTCTGCCTGACAGAGAAACAGAAAGGCAGACACACGCACATACACACACACACACACACACACACACACACACACACTGATCAACTCTCAACACATCAGAATGGAGCAAGGAAAAAGAGAAGATAAGGGGATTTGTATTTTCTTGGACACCTGCAGTCTTTAAGGAAATGCCTGTCTGAATCAGCTCCCGGTGATTTCTCTCTCTGTTGTGGATTTCCTGCTTACCTACTTTCTAACTGAACAAACTTCTTGTGGATCAGGATGGCGGACTCTGTTTGAACATTTGAATTCAACTCTAGCTCTACTGGAAGTGCCTCAGGCTGATTTAAGTTTCAGATTTGGTGCTGTATTTTCAAGTCAAATCTGTGTCTGTGGAGTTGAAGCTTCATCAGATTTTTATTCCCTTTTCGAAACATATTTTTTCCTTATTTATTTCTTTGGATTACACAAAACATCTAAAATATATAATGTTCAACGAACTGCTGCTACACACACTGCTGAGGCTCAACATGGCATCTCCCTGCATCACATAGAAGAAGATCAAAAAGGTAAGACACTCATGATGATCCACATACTTTATGTAGAAGATGATGACAGTATCACTCCAACTGTCCCCCAGCACAACCCAGCCCTCTGCAAAAACCAGAATAAATCAAGAACCAATAAAATAGTTTCCAGTTCCCGCTGGAACTTAAATGTAAAGTAAGTGTAAGGGAACAACACATTTAGAGGAAAGGAGAAATAGATAACACTCTTGAGCATTTTTCTAAATACAGGGTACAGTACTGTACAGCTCTGTCTCCTGGAAATTAAGTTTATATACAACCAATTCAAAACAGCAGATAGATTTTGATGGAAACATAATGCATAGCAAATTACGTTTTCTATTAACATAATGAGAAAATGTTGCAAATTAACGTACCTGGCCAGTTGCAAAAATGCTGATACTGAATGTATCAATAAAATGTTCACTGACAATGTATTTCAGTTGTTTTACACCAAAAGGCAATCTTACAATACAATATTTATGTAGTGACTACAGTGTTGTTTTTTGCATGATCTTTCCCTAACTGTGAAGGGGAACTTTATCCATTTTCAAAATTCAGGATTTTTTTTCCTATGGTCTAAGGCAGTCCAGAAATATTAGCAAATATAAACATCTCTCTCTCTCCCAAATCCAAAAACTAGAGTGCTAAAACTCAAATTTGTGATATCATAGGGCAGGGGTGCCCAAACTTTTTTGAATGGGGGCCAGATAAAATAATCATGGGTTTAAAAAAAAAAGTGAGACAAATTTTTATCTTTTAATGATTTACTTGATGCCTGTCTACAATGCAGTGTATGATAGTCCTGTCACTGTGAGGTGAAAGGTAAAAATGCGAAGTGATCTTGCTCGATTAACCATTATTGTGTGAAGGGCCACATATGGTATATTTTGAAAGTCAAGCCGAGGGCCAATTAAAATTGGTCTGCGGGCCACAATTGGCCCCTGGGCCAGACTTTGGACATGCCTGTCATAGGATACAAAGTTTGGATCTGCTCCACAGACGATGTATGGTGAAAGATGTTCTAGATGACACTGAGACACTGAGATTGGGCTTTAGAGTGTCTAAAGCCCAATCCATCCATGACACAACATTTTAATATAATGTCAACACAAATGCCCCGGATTGTCAAAATGAATGAATGAAAAGAATGTAACCTCTTCCTTGGGTCATTAAAACATCAAAAAATCCCTGAAACAACACAGAAGATATAACCTCTGGTTCCTCAGTGATAGCTACAGTACAGGCCTGGGTGTTATCCATCATTATTTTAAGACCTAAATGCTGTTAGAGAAAAAAAAAAAAAAAAGAACAAATATGTCATGACAATAAGTGAATGCTACCCTGTAAATAGTCGGTGGTCAGTGAGCTGAAATAGGTGAAACTAAAAAGTTTCTGTGTCTGACCTTGAATGTTTGTGTTGTTGGATTTTGGAACCTGACAGATCTTCTATCTGGAGCAAATATTTGGAGTTCAAATAAAATGTGCACGGGCTTGCTGTGGCATTTAGTTTGTAGTTTCAGTTTGGTTCCGCTTTAGTTATTCACTTATCTGATCCTGTACTATTGAATCTGTAAAATGGAGGTTGAATGTTTCAGATTGGAGGATCACATCACAGGATCCTTGCCAGCAGACTTCTTAAGACCTGAAGTTCCCTCCACTCAGATATGTGTTTTAGTCACTGTTTCTACGCAGAGTCAGTCTGACATGTCTGAGCTTCACTGGGCAGAATAATGCCTGTGCAGAGTTGGCTTTCACATCCAACTGCTTAAAGGGCCAGTGTGTAATATTTGGCATGGGTTATTGTCAAATCTGAATCTGAATCTGAATATTCTACCCATTAATATGTTTATATAAGTGTATAATCGCTATAAAATAAAATTCGTTTGGTTTTCGTAGCCTTATAATTATGCTTTTATATATATATATATATAGCAAGGGCCTTGCTTTAGAGAGGTCGCCATCTTGCGCCGCCATGTATGTAAGGCAGCCCTAGCGGACAATCCAGCCAGCCAGAGAACGCGTTTCGCATGTATAAATAAACCAACGAAGAAGACAGCGGAAGGAAGGAAGAAGGAG